CCACCAGGATGTGGCTCTTCATGTTCGTGGCAAGCTATTTGCAGGACATCAAGAGCCTGCCATATCTTTTAGGGGCGTGGCTGATATATGTGCCCCGGCAGCAACCTTCTCAAGTTGAGTTGAGCCTCTCAAACTCCTGCCAGACATACCCAACCTTGGAAAAGAAGTGCACGGAAGCCTGTTGGACTCCGCTACTTTGCAGATCGGTGTCGCAAGCCTTCGGGAGGATGATCACGGCAGCAGCTTGGTCTCTAAATTAGCTTTTCCTGCTCTGGAGTTTGCAAACTTGAGCCTAGAATACAGCTATTGCAGCTGGAGTTGCTTGGGGCCTTTTTCTGTGTCAAGGCTTCGATCCGGAGCACTCCGATCTGTTCAGAATGCTCCGTACCGGCTTGGGTGCCCGATCTGAGAACTTAGACACGATGGACATTTGGATCTTGTGTGGCTTGTGTGGCTTCTACCAGAGAGCTGCGTATCGCGTCCTTTCAAGGCAGCAGACTCATTCCGCATTATCCTCATGACGGCAGCACCACGGCTGCAAAGGACATGCACGAAGAATGTGCCTTCAAGTCTCACTTGCCTGGAACTCGCAAGATGTGTTCGTTCTCAGACTGTAGCTCGCAAAGAGAGTGCTGACATTGGGAGCCGGGTTACTTCAGTCCGAGCCTTCAAGCTTGAACAGAGGGTGTGCCTCCAAACACAGGGAGAGGGAGAAGGGATGAGATCTGGTGTCTCAGCTGGCAAGTGCAGGCATGTTGCAGCGCGACGAGAGTGGCAAGCTGTGTGTGACCATGCTCCTGCCGGTCACAGCCTGTATCATCATCATCATGTTGGTCATGGAGGTAGACGTCACGCTTGCTAAGATTGAAGCTTGGCTTTCTCAGAGTCGTTGTTATGTGAGGCAACGTTGACAGGCACCACCTGCTTCTTGCGACAGGGCATATTTCCTCAAGCAGCCCGAATATTGACGTTAACAGTGCTTCTTGTTCTTTCTGCTCTGCCAAGCCGATCGGCTTGCCGCACAGGGTGTGACGATTTGGAGCTGTGTGGCGCTTATGATACTCTGCCAACACTTCGGACTAAATATCAAAACGAGTCTTTCGCCAGGCTGTACCCATGATTCCCACCTCGATACACTTCCGACAATTAGTTCCCGCCTGCTGTCAACGGGGAGCAAAGAAAATCATGGCTCAGATTTCTCCATCTCCTCAGGCTACATACGGCCCATAGCAAGTCCTGCCCAACTGTGCTACAGACCCTCCGATCGACCTGTCGGTTGCTGCATTGGTTTGACCGCTCTTTGCGAGAATTGCAGCGCAGCTGTCTTCCATGTTCGGTCGCACGTCATTCGGTGGCAAGGTGCCAACCAAGTTCAAAGCAACGCATGAGGAGTCGTTTGTTGACCAGGATTTTTCACTCTGTTCGGTGGCCTTCGGACACTGGTAAAAGAGTGTACCCAACGTTCCGGAGCCAGCTGCCACTCAGAAGGGTGGCTCGAGACCGAGGAAACAATTGACTCGCATTTCATTGCTTGGACATCTTCCGTCCTTGTGGCATTTGAAGCTCGGCCGGCAAGAGTGCCATATCACAGAGCAGGTGAAGCGACATTGACTCTCAAGCCGACTGTCCCTAAGGCCCTGCCGGACCTGTATGTTATCGTTAGTGAGCTCTTCAAGCAGTTCTACCTGATGAGAACAGGCCAGGCATGTGGGAAGCAGACTAACAAAGCAGATGCCGAAGTTGCGTGTCCGCAATTTCATGGGTTGCCTGTTCCTGAACTTTGATGTCGCCGCAGCTTTGATTCCTTGGTTGTGTCCACGTGCCAGGCATTAGCGTCTTGCTCCTCTTCTTCGGGGGCTTGCTCCTGGTGCGGGAGGATTCGGACAAACAAGGGATGACACAGAGAGCGAAGGAAGGGAGGAAGAGAGACAGAGAACACCTGGTACGTGTCGGGTCGCAAGCTACCTGATGCCCTGAGCGGTTGCTCAACCTCCAAGATGACATAGACCCTGATCCAAAGTCAGAGAGACCTTCCTTCACCATTAATTTCTGCAGTCTTTGTTCTGGAGTCTGCTTGAGAGGGACTGTCTTGACGGAGGGAGAGTCTCTTTTTTTGCCTATGCGGGGGGGCCGGCCTGTAGAGCCTGAGAGACATGAGCGGGAGTGTGGGAGTTTCCCGACTCTTGATTGTGGCGAAGGAGAAGACTGATAGGGAGGCGGAAAAACAGAGAGAGAGAGAGAGAGAGAGAGAGAGCGGTGTAGGGGGTCAAACCCCTACACCCTAGCCCTGGCGAAAGAAAGAAAAAGAGAGCGAGAGAAAGTCCAGTGGAAGAAGAGCGAGAGAAAGAGAGAGCAAGGGGGGCAACCCCCTTGTCCCTAGCCCTGGCGAAAGTCGACGGTCCCTTATGCCCGGTGGAAGAAGAGATCGAGAGAGAGAGAGAGAGAGAAACGTGCGTGCTCCGACGAGTCAATACACGGAGGTTTGTCCCCGTTGGACTTGTGAAAGAAAACGAGGAGGGGAAGAAAGTTCTTGCAGTGCCCTGGAAGTTTGCCCGGACAGTAGGCAACGGCATGATATGCCCAACATACTTGTTGGCCTTCTGCTGCCTGGTGATGCAAGTTGTGTGAGTCCCAAGTTTCCGGTTTTGCAAGTTCGCTCGGATCGCTCACGGATTGCATCCTTGAGGGAGCATTTATGCGTTCAAAGTGTTGCTGCTGATGGGGGTTCAACTCGATGGGCACCCTGCCATCCGAGCGAGACCGGGGGAAAGCCGAAGAGTCACTTGTTTTTCTAGCATCCCATGTCCTTCGATGCTGTCCTGAGGAAAAGCACCTATAACATATCGCCGAACACATTTTCATTTGATTCAAGTGGGTTAAAGCTTTACAGTGCGAAAGCCTCCCAGCTTTCTTGTTCGTTTTTTCTCTCACTCTAAAAGCCTGGGACTGCAGGCACACGCCGTTCCTCAAGCTCGGTACTTGCATAATCTTGCGTAGTAAGAAGGGCAAAGAGAAAGACAAATTGTGTTGCCCCCATGACTTTCGATGCCTGTTCTCAACCTGCCGCGAGGAGGTGCAAGTTTCGGACACCACCGAAGTAGCAGTCATGCTGACGATAGTCTTTGGCTCCATCGTTCTGTCCACCATGATGCAAATGGGTGCTTTGGCAAGCTAAATCCCAGCAATAGCAATGCACATAGGATTTCGGTATGGTTTCCAAGGCCCCAAACACGGTGCCGCATACGACGAGTCCGAGGAGGAGGAATCGGAGACGCGCCTTGGCTGCATCTGACAGCCACCTGTCGAGGGCTCGCGAGCCAAGTTCGATACAGAACTTTCGAGATGTGATTGTGAAGGCTTCGGCGCCCTCTGCTTGTACACACTCTGCCTGCATACCTCACTCGGTGATTCTTGCTCGGCATGCCAAGGACTCCCAAAGAAGCCAGAGAAGTACACACCAATGCGGAAGCTACGCTTTACTCGCAGCTTGATGGAAAGCAAGTTGTGAAGCGTGCGACGAGGGGCTGCATGCAGCGTATATCTTCATGTGTATTTGTGTCTCCCTGTTTGTCGGTCTCTGTGTCGGTCTCCCTCTTTGTCTGTCTGTCCGTCCGTGTCTGTCTGCCTGGTTGGCTGGCTGTCTGTTCTCCTATAATCGGTTAGGTAGGTGGTTTCGGATAACCAACCACACACGCCCGGACGTGATCAGAGTGCTGGCCTGGTTCAGACCTGTTCAAGTTTTGATATCCATGGCCATCTTGGCTGAGGCAATCGCCGGGCAAGACCTTTTTGTAGCCGATCAGGTGCGTCTCTAGCTGCGCGCTCAACGGAGATGAAATCATTTCCCTTCACTCCCGACGCTGTTCACAACGGTTTCGATGTTCGGCTGCCGACACCCGGTCGACAAGCGTGATAGCAGGATCGGGCTTGATCATTGTGAATTGTGACTTTCACCGATGGCTGCACTTTGGGTGGGACAGATGCGTGTCGTCCCGATGGACATGACTGTGCCGCACCTCTTGATCGAGACTTCGGACTCAAGACGTTGCGCGACTGTCTGGGTGTTTTGTTGCTCAACTCGGAATCCTCGGAAGCTTCTTTGATCAAAGGTTACTCCTTGAGAAAGATCCTTGTGAAGTTTGTCGAGATATCCTGTGAACTCTTCGAAATCTCCTGGGAACCTTCCTTGATTCAGATCCACTCGGGAATGGTAAGCGTCGAACTTTACCGTCGGGTCGGTCGCCGGGGCGCAGGGTTTGCTTGATCGATCGGTCAAACGCTTTTGCATCAGTCAGACGGAGTCTTTCGGCTTTGCCGCTAATGGGACCTCAAGGTGGAGCCCATGTCGAGGTCCCGAAGAGGTCGTGGAGTTAGCACTCAACCCTGTGCTGACTTGGTTTACACTGCGTCAACTGTTCTGTGGACTTTGAGTGAGCTTTGCGGACGTTCTTGCGAGGGGTGTGGTATGTGTGGTCAGTCTGCTAGTCTGTCATGAAAGTTCGTTGTAATGGTTGCAAATCAAACGAAGCTTCGGGCAGGCTCGATGTCATCTTGCGTATTTAAGGAGGAATTACGTTTTAACCCGAAGCACAGCCAAGTCGCAGTGACGTACAGCAGGGGCGATACAAACAACAGCTTTTTGTAGCTGTAGCACCGCGAGGTTAGGGGTTTGTCCGTAAGCCACGGTACAATGTCGACAGTTGACAGAACGCAAACCATCTGCTAGTACTGTCAGTTGCACCTCCGGATCACTATTCCTGCTCAGGCTGTACTGAGCTGCTCCAGATGCTGCCCAAAAAGCGGCTGCCAAGATCTGCGGCGAGCAAGAGCATGCTGTTAGTTTATCGCATATCACGTGCAGATGATGCCGCACAACTGTCGACATTGGCTCGTCTCACAAAGCTTCATGGACGACACTTCTACAGCTCTTGAGCATCAATTCGAGTGTGAGGGCGCAAAGTGCTGCTACCCATACAATTTGCCATGATATAGTCCCGGCCATGGCGATATATGATTTCGACTATGGTCTGCAGGGTCAGGTGCTCCAACGCAAGATTCGGGTGGCTTTTTCGCTGCTAGCCTCGGACTGGGTAGAGTGCTATGTGCGTCCGCTGTGCTCTGCACGTCCGCTGGCTTTGAAAGGGGAAGTTTCGTAGTATGCTTGCATCAAGGTGCAAATGGAGGCTTGGTCAGCATGTTATGGCTCTGGACTGAATCCCCAGGCACGCATTCAGCCGATGGGTAGCCAGGGCGAATATGGTTGAGTTGTCGTCGTGGCTCAGTGACAGTGCCAGGCCTCTCCATTCCTGCCGCGACAGAAGGCAGCACAGGAGTGACCATGCGGCACTGCAGATCCCAGCAAGTCCGTGTGCTAAGTGTTTCCTCAAGATGAGGGGTATTTCTGTTGTCAAGAAGCACAGTATTTCATCTGGTTGCCTTGCAAACACATCTCCTGTTTGTTCTTTGTCCGTGAGTTGCAGTTAGCCTTCCCAAAGGTCACCAATGCATCTTGAAGCTACAACCTATGTGTTCAGGCCCCGTGCAATGCCGCAACAGATAATCAATCAGCCTGGGCCTGGAAGGTTGGGATTTCTGTCGGGGCCCGGAGCCTTCACAAGCTCAGGTGGCGGGCATTGCTTCGGCGCCTCGCCGCAACACCGCTGCCGCTGGGCCGAGAGGCGCTGCTCTGGGCAAGAAGGCGGCCGGGGGAACAGTTTAGGGTTTAGGGGTTTAGGGTTTAGGGGTTGAAGGGTAACTCAAACTGGCCTTGTCAGCCGAAGCTTTCTCGTCGGAAAGGTTAGAAGATGCGGCAGCAGCAGCCATCCAGCTGCACTGGCGCTGCTTGGAGGAAAGGAGTAGGGCACTGGACCGGGGAATCCAAAGGCAAAGGAGGTTGACACGACCTAATGATGCATCTTTAAGGGAAGGCGCACTCCACGACATGATGTGCAGCAGGCAGTCACAAGCCAGCAACCGCACAGGAAGGTGCAGGCAAAGTAGCAGGGACCAGTTCAAACTACAGGATGATGTTCTAATGCGAACAAAGCCACAAAGCTGCCAGATCCCCAAACTGGCAAATCCAAGCAACACCAAGATCACCAACTTCCCGGTGGAAAGTCCATGTCAAAAATGTGCAAAATAAGGTTCGCATTCATCACAAGCATGATCTTCATAAGCCTCTTCGACAGTAGTACGCTTTGATTATCTCTTTCGTTGTTTCTAGCCCAAAGCACTGTGTGGTACACGCTATAAAATGGTTAGTAATCCTCCAGGGTGCACCGACAACGTTCCCCAAAATGTGGCTTTCGCTGGGGCTCGATGCACATGTTGTGCTTACGTTCCATTATTTGCACAGGATCGTGTTGGACAAGGGTCCTCCGGAGGCCAGATCCACAATAAATGAGCCACCTGTTGGCCCGGGAAACTCTGCATTGCGCCATTTACTTGCAAGAAAGCGTTAAGCATTTCGCCGTTCTACAGGAATACTCCTGAATCCAGTCAGCACTTGGACCAAAGCATGTTGGCAGTGGTCCTGAGTCCGCCAATAGTTGTCGGAAGCGTTTCGGCCACACTCCTGAACCGCACCATGGCTTAGGGCAAGTATTTTGACCGTCCTCCTGAAGCGCGCCGGTACTTCGTAGTTGTCGTCGTGGCGGTGGTTGGGGTGGTGGTGGTGGTGGTGGTGGTGGTGGCGGTGGTGGTGGTCATGACGATGATAACGACGACGATGGATGATCATGATCATCGTCATGTTCATGATCAAGAGTCATGATCTTGACCATGATCCTGATGACTGTGGCGATGACGGCGACCCATGCGCCGATGCTCATGATCATGACGATCATAGTGATCGTGATGGTGACATTTGCGATTGGCTTGCTGCAGCTATATCGTTTTTTGCACATTCCTTCTGTTTTTGGTGCTGCCTCCCTGCAAGAATCAGAAATGCACCATGTCAGAGAAAGAAAGGGTGTAACAGAAGGGCGAAGTGTGGTGGGAGCAGCAGTGCCCCCCCCAAATTTTGACCACAAAGACCACAACGGTTTCATGTGCACAGCTGTAGTGCAGTCAGCCAAAGACGAGGCTGCCATTGGTGGACAAAGCTCCAGAATCGATTGGCAGCCTCGCCGGAAATCTACGGCTCGACAGGCAGGGATGGAGGTCGTTAAGAGGGATCCCCGGTAGGCTGGCAAGACATGCAGAGGCCGATAACTGATTGCAGCTGCGGGGCGCTCGCCAGGAGCCAGCCCCTGGGCTGATGGGCAACACAGGTGGAACCCACGCGCGCGAGGCACCAGATATTTGGTGCGATGATGTAGCTTCTGTCCCAGCTGCTCGTCGATCCAAGCTTGTCTGCTGGTTGCTGTGGCCAATGCACCCTTTTCGACTGCTGCCCTGTGTAGTACTGTAAGCCACTACGCATCCTTGGAATGGGCTGTCTTCAGGCAAGCGTCGGGCTCGCAGCTTTGGGCCCCAAAGGCAGCGAGAGATAAAGGCAGCGGGGTTGCTACAGGTGCTGTTGCCGCTCTCCTCGCAGGCGGAGGCAAACGCCAGGATGCTTGGAAGTGCCACCGCAGAGCCAAAGCTCGAGGTGGACGATGTGTCATGACCCGGTAGCCAGCAGCGGTCTTGGGCAACTCGAATATCGAAACAAGGGGTCACATCATTGGTGTACGGCCGCCTAAAGATTGGATGGTCCCTGTCATTCCTTTCCAACCTTCCTCTGCGAGATCTTTATTGAAAGTTTGTTGTATTTTCGAGCCATTTGGCCGTGCCAGGCAGTTTCAAGATGCGACGTCCGCAGAGGCCTTTCCGCTCTCATAAAGCGGATGTTTCCTCTCCCACGAAGCGCAAGTGTGGTGCTTGCTTCATGCAGATTCTGCTTATCCTCAGGCCACGCAAGCAACTGCACGGAGGCGAGGAGTTCCACCAGCCAGGCTGTTTTGGGCTTGTAGGGAAGTCTGCCGTCGAGGCCGAGACCCCTGAGCCAGCCAGCTCGGCCAGCTCGCCTTAGGTGGGTCCCCGTCCGGAAGGGAAGCGAGGACGAAGAAAAGCGTGTGTCGGTATCGCAAGGCCTTGTCTCAAATGTGCAAATAAGACCTGTTGCAATTTGAGTGCCCTGTCCTGCAAGCTCCAGCCCAGTGACGGTGGCCTTCCTGCAGAATGCAACGCCTTGAGCGGGTCTGCAAACCGTGAAGTTCCTGCCCGTGGACTTTGGGCTCAGCCATCCCCAATGTGCACCAATCCCGATGTGCACCGAAGCATTTGAAGGTGACTCATGGAATTATTCAGGAGGATTGGCATGTTTGGGAATCGGACTGGCGTTGAGGGAGAGGGGTCGGGCTGCCAGCCGGGAGTGGTACATGGAAGCTTCAGCTGGGACTCGCCGCGTCTTGCGCGTACAAAGTTCCGCCTGTCACTTCACGGTATTTTGAGAGTTGAACTCGATAAGGATACGCAGCGTGGGATGTTGCCCTGTGAGGCTGTACTGGCGATGCCAGAGGCGCTGCCCGATGGCCACTTCCTCTTCTCATCCGAGGCAACCACAGAAGGCCGGCATAGGCCTACAACTCTGGTAAGTCCGTGACGTGGGCCTCTCCGGGTATATCAAGCCCGCGAAACAGGACATTTCGACAAACTCTGCGACCGAGTGGCCGACGCAGTATTGGACACATGTCTTTCGCAGGCCAGGAGTTGTTATGGAGGCCAAAGACTATGCATGAATGTGGCATTGCAACTGCTACAGGACTCAGAAAGCCGGGTGCTTTGTGAAGCATGCGCCAAGTCTGGTGACCTGGCGGGCAGTTCGACATGCACCGTGCTTTCCCGTGGCGCATGGTTGCGACAACGTCCAACTGCGATTATCTAAGGAATGGTGATGATCCTTGGTGAGGTGGTCAGCAAAGCCAGTATACAATACGAGCAGGTCATTCGAGAAGCTGTCAAAGCGGTTGGCTATGACAGCGATGACAAGGGCCTGGATTGGAGGACAGGGGTGCTGTGCTGCTAGTACTTTCAGCCGAAAATTGTTCTTATACACACACACACACATTCACTGATTCACTGGTTAGTTATTAATAATTGCATGTAATTGCTTTCACAGATGCTTGCCCAGACCCACGAACCCGAGGAAGCGCATGTGCCCAAGCAGAGCTACTTAAGGGTACAAGCTCATGCAGGACGATGAACGTCATTGTGGCGGTTGAAGATCAGGGCCCGGACATCGCAGCGTTTGCCTCTGCTCGCTCCTTTCGACTTGACTCGGTGGCTTCTCTGGTTCCTTGTCGCCCAGGCCTCCTTGGGGAGTCAGCGGCCAAAGCTTACGGATGACCAGGTTCGAAGCTCGGTACCGTCCTGCTGCTTGGCTGGTATTTCGACTGTCTATGTGGAGCTGCAGGCCGTGGTTGTTGGGTACGCCACAGATGAGACAGAGGAAGAGCCGTGATTGAGACAATGCTGCGGACGAAAGCGTAGTGTCGTCACTTGGCTGATCGCGAGATTTGAACAGGATGCTATGCCGCTGTCTCATGCCCTGGCATCGCAGATCTGCGCCCAGATGGATCGGCTGAGGAGGGTCTCAGGGTCCAGGTGTTTGCAGGTTCTTGTTGGGGTCCCTGCTGCACGTACCTTGAGGTCCAATTTTAGGAATGGTTCAAGTTCATACGATTCGAGCACGGGCGTGCCTATCCAACACCACGCCGATTCAAGCACAACAGCCGATTCATGCACTCAACATGTGAGCATGCGCGATTCACGCGTGTGCGATTCAAGCACTCGCGAATCAAGGGATCAGCGGTTTGCGGTTTGGAGTTGTTGGGACGGTTCTTGGTTTATGGGTGTTCAGGGGTTGGAGGTTTCAATGTCTGCTGACACTGTGGTTTTGCTGGCGCTTCTTTGGAAAGGTTGCAGGAGGGTAGACGGCCGAAGGTTTTTAGAGTTTTAGGGTTTAGCGTTCTGTCACGTCGTTAAGGCACATTCTGGCAAGCTTCCGAATCCCACGTGCGCACATTGCTCGTGTGCGCGAATCTCCCGCCGCACAAGTTAGCTCATGCGCCGTGCCGGGGCGTGAATCGGCCGCTAATGCTCGGCGTGTAAACCGGTTCGCCCAGTGTGCGTGAATCGGTTTCTTGCGGTGTGTTCGCTGCGTATACGCAGAAGTCGCGAGCAACACAGTCGAGCGTCGCTACATCCTGACACCAGGGCAAGATCTCAGTTTAGGACTGGCCTTCTGCTCAGTGGGACTGCTCCGGAGGCGAGATGGCGTGTTGACATGGCTGCGTCCAGATGCTCGCGCCCAGGCCGGGGTATTCCGTCATGCTGAGAAATCGAGATCAAGACTCCCATGTCGAAGCATACTTTAAGGTGACCGTGGAGTACAAGGCAGACTCCGATGGCACCTTAGCTGCCTTAGTTCAGACTTCATCCGGCGGGCCGTCAGCACTCAAGGCTCAGATCTGCTTTATCTGCTTGAAACAGGCGCGCTGCTTCCACAGCGGGTCCACAGCATCTCCGTCATCTACAGCCATTTACCAGAGGTAAAGCCTGCAGCTGCAGAGAAGGACCTCATGGACCAGGAGTGGCAGTGGAGCTCATTGAAGTCCAGCATTCTCATCGTGCCAGCATTACTCCGCATTACTCTGCTGACCCTGTCCGCATCTGTGTGCAGGTTGTGAAGCCCGTGGTTCCCGATCGCTTTCTTGATAGCCGGGGCGACCCAGACACTCTAGCACAGATGCTTGCCCCATCTTGCCCCTGAAGTGATCGGGCTTGCCAGCACTGGACCATGCTTAAACAGCAACCATGGCCATTCATCGCCATCACACCGCAGATACTGCCACAGATGACAGATGAAATCAGATGAATTAGCCTTTCAGACGTTTGTGTGGGCCATACAGCAACGTAAAGCCACCGTGACTTGAGAAGCAGTATAGCGAGACCCCGCTTTCCTCTCAGGCTCGGTGCGCTGCATCTTCGCACCTCGAGTGCGACGTGGTGCCTCGGAGGCTCCCTCCAAAAAAGCTCGGGCGAAACCCAGTGAATCCTTGTGAGTTGTGACGCAGAAACTTCTCCGATCTCCCAGGCGGGTTTCTCGGGTCGCCGGTGCGATGCCGACGGCTACGGTGGATGGGTGCCGGGAGGCGCTTCCGCCCTCCGCGCAAAGAAGAGCCGAAGTTGAGACAGAGAGAGAAGCATCGTCTCGACGACTTGTGCGCTCCATGCGTATACGACGCGCTAGTCCAGCAAGAGTAGGTGCGGCACCTCATGTGAAGCTCACTAGACTCTGCGCTTTTAGTGGTTCCTCCAATCATTCTCCAGCACTGGCTCACATTCAACCCTGAAGCGCGAACAGTGCTCAGGCGTACTCTCCGGCCGCGATGGGTGGGCTCTGGGCCGCGCGGCCTACGGAGCCCGCTGGGCCGCAAGGCGCAGTGAGTTTTGCGAGCTTGCCCGTCCATCCCCAGCACATGTGCTTGCACCTGTCGCACACTTTTGCGGTCTTGTACCAGCCATGTTACGACATGTTGCAAGGCGGCCTCTTTTGGCTTCCTGGCGGCTCACACGCTAGCCCTTTCTACTCCTGTCATTCAGAAGTTTGCTCCTTTCGAGTTGAAGGCCTACCACTCTGCCTGTTCACTGGGGCTGTGTTTTTTCCACGCGCTATAGGTTTCGTATCAGACTGAAGCTGGCTTCTTGGGGCATCCGTTGCGCCCCTCCCCTTGTGCTCTGTTTTACACGAAATATCGGTTGGTGTGAGTATATTGGTGAGTATATTGAGGTGGTCAGATTTCATTCGTTCCACAGCATCGGGATTGCCTGCGCTTCTCGTTTTTAACGGTTTGTCTTTCCCCAGGGCTCTGCATTCTCTTTCGAGTTTCGGGCTTGCTGCATACTCTTTTTGAAGTACAACTCCTTGTTGTCGGATGTAGGGTGTGTTTGTCTACCGGTTCTGTTTTCCGATGTGGATCAGCCACGACCTCCAACTGCAAAAGAGGCATCAAAACAATTCTGCAGACAGACGGCATTTTTCCTTCAGGGCAGGGGTTGAACCTGTGGGGTTTGGGGGTTTGCTCCCGGAGTTCGTTTGCCACATGTTTCAGGCTCCAGGTTGTGTCAGTCCTGTTCCTGGCTTTCCAGTACAGGATGCCAGCCATCACAGACCCGGTTCCACACCAAGACGAAGTCGGTGATGCGTGTTGCGTGGACCCATGATGGAACATGCCACGACTTTCGATTCATAGAATGAGAGGGGACCGCCCTCCCGTGTTTCCCCTGTACAAGTCAGCCGGTTTTCTGCCGTAGCACCGACGCCAGCACCCATCCATAAACCAGGTCCAGCATGGACTACCTGTACACGTAACATGCGGAGATACCCTCGCCCTCGCCACGACTTTCAAGCTGTCAAGGGAAGGTCACTTCCAGAGCCGCTGGCTGCCGCTAAAGCTGGTTCTGCGAGACCTGCCCATCCCTAATATGTTTCCGTCCTGTCTCCCGTGGTGTGGACTTCGTGACTTCACCTCTGGATGCTTCCCGACAACATCCCTACTGAGCCCTGCTGTTTGAACACACTCCTGCTGTTCCCGACCCTGCATTGCAGTTCCCCAACACCGGGCTTTCCAACGGCTCCCACGGACTGTCGCTTCCCGTCGCGTTCCTTGCGGGTTCAGGGTTTGCCTCCACGCTTCTTACCTTATCGATTGTAATTCGGCGGCTTTCGATTTTGACAAGATGCTGATCTCACTCGGTCATTTACCGTAGTTGGGGGGGACGAGATGCTTAGAGTTCGCTGCGATTTTCATAAGTTGAATGGAGAGACGATGGAGTTTTTGGGAGGGAATCCTTTCGAAGGGATCGCCAGGAGCCTGGTCGCTGCCGGCCTCTGCCGGCGCTGCGAAGTGCGGCTGACCTTCGATCCACAGAGCGAAGCTGCTGGGGTCCAGGCCTCTGGGACTGGCTGGTTCCGAGTTCTGCATTCTTCTTTATTGGCCTCCGTGTTCATATTCGCAGTGTTTGCTGAAGGTCGTGGGGCATTTCTCCAACTGCGTATAACTCCTCGTCCTTTTTGTTTATGGCAAATCTCTGGCATGGAAAGCACTTGTTGAAGTGTACGGTGAGGCCCGGCAGCGACAGGAACGATCCTCTTGGTTTTGGAATTTCAACCATTCGGTTTGCCTCGCATCATGACTAGGCAAAGTTGGGGGCGTAGGCCCTAGGCAGCTCGATCATTGCAGATGTCACGTCGTTCTGGAAGGTTGTGTCTTCTTGGGCTCTCTGAAACAGCTTCTGTCACCAATGTTCGGCAGTGACCCAGGCCGTTTGATAGCAGGATGCACTGTGCGCAATCGCAGAAGCTACGGGCCGAGGAACTGAGATCATCAACTTTCGCTAGGTCCTTCATCCGTTGGCCACTTCCGGCCAAGGAATTCAAGACAACACGCTTCGTCGTCCGTGTTTGCTGCTACTACCCAACATGCACAGGATTTCTGAAGGGAGGCCTGGTACTAGTACCGCGTGCGAACTCTGACCCTTCACTCGTGTTGTGCTTGCACAGTTGTCACCGTTCAATTTTTCATCCAGCTCGATCGCTGGCAGGTCCATTCCTTCGGCACGAGCCGGAGCAGCAGTAAAACCGATACACAGCTAGCTGAAATCGTGGCAGCTGGACTGCACCAGAGCTCTGCCGGGCAAGGAGTTTCGCTTTCAGTAGGACATGTTTGCTGCTTGGAGCTTCCACTGCCCTGAATGCCGGCATGTGCCAACAAACCTCTGTGGCCCAGACGCAATCGTTTGACTTTCGCCCGAGCAGTCTCCAGCGGGACCGGGCTTGTGATTTGCAATGTGGTGTGCTGCCAGAAGTACATATACTCATACGTACTTACACTTATATCTATCTCCATATCTATATTTATAACTGTATGTATAAGTATATCGGTATCAATATCTGTATTTATACTCACATCTTTATCTAGAATATATATATATATATATATGTATACACATGCATATCCATCTATATCTGTATGCATTTCTGTATCTACATCTCATTTTGCCTTTATATGTATTTACATCTGTTTATATCTATACACCTATATCTATGTACACATGTATACATATATATGTATATGCGTACCTTTCTATATCTATATGTCTGTATATCTGTAAAAGTCTGTATGTGCTTGTATCATATCTATAGATTTGTGTATCCATCTATCTAGATCCATCTTAGTTATACATGATCATATCCTTGTTTCTCTGTATCTGTTAGTCTGTTAGCCTTTAACATCTATATCTAAGGATACATATGTACGTAAAGCAGATACTTACATGTCTACATATGTAGACATATGTAAATCAGTAGGGCTGAAATGCAAGAAACGGGTCGTTTATGGTTTGACTCCAGTGGAGGAACAACTATCTGAGAAGGAGCTAGGAGTGCAATTTCAGGCACAATTTGCACGAATGTATGTAGGTGCATAGGTAGGTGGGCCTGCAGGCACGTCGGTATGTAGGTATGTCGGTATGTAGGTGTGCACGTATTTACGTCTGCATGTATGCATGCATGCAGTTGTGTCTGTCTGGCGGTCTGTCGGTCTGCCTGCCTCGCTGCCTGCCAGTCTCTGTCCTCTGTCTGTCCGTCCGTCTGTCTGTTTGTCTGTGCCTGTGCACGTGCGTCGGATTATGTAACATGTACATGTGTACTAAGGATATGCATATATATATATGTATATATATATATATATATATGCATGTGTGTGTGTGTGCGCGTGCGTGTGCGTATGTGTGTGTATGGGTGTGTGTATGTATGTATGTATGTATGTATGTATGTATGTATGTATGTATGTATGTATGTTTCCTCTTGTTCGTAAACAGGCATGTGACGGTATGGATGTAGGCAGGTGGGCAGGCAGGCAGGCGGGCAGCCATGTACACACATGTGTATAGAAGTTTATATGCATGTATATGTATATATAAATTTAAACATCACAGCGACATACATACATATATATATATATAAATATACATATATATATATATAAATACATATATATATATATGTGGTACCCTTCATGGATCTACCGTTTTGTGGCTGGGTGAACCCCACCACACGAAAACAACAGATCCTCTTGTGTTGATTTCTCGTATCTCTTTTCGTTTACGCTTTCATTGATAGAATATGACAGCACACTAGGTAATTATCTTTTCAATTCACGGCACTCATTTAATTAAAGCAACGTACGCACACTGATTATCAAGAAACCTAGAGCCGTGCTTTACGGAAGAGCACACGCATCTCACACGGTTTCAGTTGTTTCTTGTTTGAACCATAGGACATCCAGAAGCTATCTCCACGTCGATGTTTTTATTTGTGTCATGTTGGTTCGTTCGTTCTGTTGCCCTCATTGTTTTAATAGTGACTTAAGCGCGCTTTACTCTGTTACATTGTCTTAACTTATATTCAACAAAGGCTACAACGGGACTCACTTCAAGGATTTAAAAGACTGAGACATTCATGAACGACTCCAGATTCCGCGCCTATTTTTCATTGGCCTTCTACGCTTAAATCATGTGTTCAATTTATTCCGAATAGGTAAGCTAAAAAAGCCAACGAAAAATATGTCCTTCATATTATTAACCTCTAGACCTAAAGCAAGAAACTAAGCATAAGGGATGCAAGGGAAGGAACATGTGATAGATCCTAAAGTTCAAACAACCCGTAGAATGTCATGGTCAATATTATATTTCGTAAGATGTACCGTCACCACACGAACACAAATCCAAACGAATCTGCATGTCTTCTGCATCCGGCTCTCGAACATACGAAGACGGTAGACCCTTGAGAGGGGGGTAGCATGTATATGTATGTGTATGTGTATTGATTTATGTTTACACTTTTATGTTTATACATAAACTGGCACCGATAGACGCTCGGACGCAACTTGTCTATTGTAATTTTCGCATGCTGAGTACATACATACATACATACATACATACATACATACACACATACACACATACATACATACATACATACATACATACATGAATTCCTACATAAATTCCATACATGAAGGCATTCCTACATATATGCATGCATGCATGCACGCACGCATGCATACATATGTACATACACACATACATTCATACATACCTATATTCCTACATACATACATACATACATACATACATACATACATACATACATTCATACACAAGTATGTACATTCCTACATGCATACATACATCCATGCATGCATGGATACATACATACATGCATACATCCCTACGTACATACATGCACAATTACATACATATACACACAGGCACAGTCGAAATCACATAAATACATACATGCATACATGCAAACAAACATGTATATATATATATACACATACATACATACATACATACATACATACATACATACATACATACATTCCTACATTCACACATACACTCTTACTTACATACATACTTGCCTACCTACCTACGGACGTACGTAGGTATAGATTCGTACATATAAGACATCTGTACATATGTACGATACATATCTTTATATATATATATATAGATATATTTATGTACATATTTATATACTATGTTTCAAACGAGACGGCAATTCCCAGATAGCAACCAGCAGACATGCATGTGTGTATACATGCAGGTTTGTCCAGTTCATATGCCATCTCGTCTTTAGCCCGCAGGACCTGAACCTCAAAGGTCCTCTGTTCCAACGCCTTTCAGCGCAGCTTGGCTTCAGCCCAGAAGCTATTTCTTGCTTCGGCCTGTATTTGAGAGTCTCCTTACTGAGAGCTTGTGTCTCTACTTTCACTACGTCTCTGCAGACAAGGTACGGACACTTCGGTCGAAAGGAGCTGGATTTGCCATGGGAAAAGCCCAAGGCCTTGGTCCAAGACACCCGCAGCGAAACTTTGAGAGAAATCGTTTCATAAATTTCTGAGAGAGGTGCGGCTTTGAGCTGCATGTGAATCTCCCTCGTGGCTGCCTTGTGCCAGGCGCTGCAGTGAGGAGGATGGAGCAGCAACAGAAAAAATCCGAGCGTCTTTTTTGTTCCGTTGCCTAAGTCCGCAGTTACGAGGAAGTTACAATGTGCGCCTGTGAACGTCTGTGCCTTAGCAGATCTCAGCAGGAATCATTTACTCTCCCGTCTTCGCTGACCACTGCTTGCCGCTTTGGCTCTGGCTGGGTTGGGTTCTTCTTTGTCGTAGGGGATGTGCCGGAGGAGCCCCCCCATCGCTTTTTGAGGCCTTGGGCTCTGCCTCTTCTGCCACTCTTTCTGCAACGTTCGCGGCCCGAGGCATAAATGGCTAGTTCGGGCAGCAACGGAACGATGCTCGTGAAATGCGAGACCAAGAGTAATCGGGTCAAGGCTCGCAGCTCTTGGTGCTTGCATGTCGTAGCCGTCGCCTTTGTCGATGCCTAGCAGGGTCTGCGTGGGGTTTGGCTGCATCCAGCTGCCTAGTCTTTAGTCCGATGTTCCGACTATGCAGATCCTTGCAACCCTTCACTTCAACACGTACATTCCCGCCTGCCAGGGCTTAAGCTTTCATCCCAAGCTCTCTTGGATCCTGGCAAGTGGCCGTCTCAGAAATCTGGTTTTTGATGAGTGCCTGGGGTTCGAGAGTGTGCGGTAGTGATGTGTGTTTTTGTCGGGTTGCCTGGTCCGGTCGTTTCACGGGGCGAGAACTTTTCGACAGGCTGAGACCTCCTTGAAGGAGTTTCGACCGTAGGATGGCATGCAGGTGTGCATGTCGTGTCCACAAGCTCCTCTTAGGGGTACTCAGAGTTGGGTGGACTTGGTTTACCTGATCTTCCGCAGTTACCGAGATCAGCCTCAGGGTTTCGAGATATCCTATCGTGATATCAGACTCAAGCGCGATGACGTTCAAGCATGCCATCGGACTTATCCGGCAAGGTCTCCACAATGGCACGATCCAGCTGTGGGACTACAGGATCTGGGCTCACTGCAAGGTAGACGTGAACGGAGCCCACGTGCTCCTTGCAACAAGCTCAAGCAAGCATTCACTAGTTGTGCTGATGCCTTCCTTGCGAGAGGATCGGTTCCTTGATTGACAAGTTTGAGGAGCCGTTCTATGTGCTGTGGCATGCTGTGGCATCTCTAGACCACCGATGGTGTCATCTCCCTTGGCAGCTTTTTTGTATGCGTTCAGCGAAGCCCGGTTAGTGCCCGTTCCCTGGCTGTTGACAGGAGCACGAGGGAGGTCCTGTGCGAGGCATTTGCTTCCACCTCTCGCAGCCACTGCGAGATGCCCAGTGAGACTTGCAGTCGACATGTTGTTTTGAGTTGTCCTGGAGATGTTGTACAGCTGCGTTCAGGTTTGTTTCCGGTGGCGACGACTACAAGATCAAAGCCACGATCCCATGCACCCTTCAGCGTTGCCATGCACGGTAGCTTATGTAGGTCCTGCAGCTTTTGGCAACTTGAGGTTTGGAACTACAAGCTCCGAAGATGTATTTTCACTCTTCTAGGCCGCGACAGCCGCCTAGACCTCGCACTGCTACACCCCCGGTCTTCAGAATGCTGCGTTGGGCCTGGGCCAGCCGGCAGGCCATCTCGACTATATCAGAACGGTCGAGTTCCACGACGAGTACCCGTGGATTCTTAGTGCCACCCTTGATGTGCAAGGCTTTTGAGACACTGACCGTATGTCTTAAGCAGTTGCTGAAACAGGCGCTCAACCTCTCATGCCGAGTCAATGGCTCGAAGACTGAAGCATGGCATGGCTTATAGGATCTGTGTGGCAGTATAGACGCCACTCACAGCAGAAGCCAGCTTGCGACACAGACTTACTGTAAGACACTTTGCGTGTTGCCGTGAAAAGCCTTTGCCCTTCGACCGTGCCGTTTGTGATGGATTCTCAGCCTCCCTTGGCAGCCTCTTCGGAG